GGGTCTGTGTTTGTGGTCCAGTGAGATGGATAAGCGGAGTGAGTGATTAAGAGCACTATCGACTGGGTGCTGCCTGGGCTGGTTGAAGTCGACTGTAATTTGTTCATCGAAACAAAGGATGCCTGGAAAAACGGCCGTGAACACCTCCTGCTCTACCTGCTGGCACAGCCTGGCCATGCTGGCGGCAGACAGTGGTGGGGGCAGCGATGGTAAAGGCAGAAAATGGGTGTGAGAAGGGACCGTGCCTGTGGGAAGGGTCTGGCCATGCCCGAGGGTCTGGTCATACTGGGAAAGGCTGCCTGTCAATCTTTGGTGGGGCTCCCCACTGCCGTGCCACACCATCTGGGATGCTGGGTTCTGCTCCGCCACCCCGGGCTGCTTCAGGTAAGTCGTAATGTTATAGATATACAGTTATCCCCAAAGGATCTGTAAGGACCCAGGCAGCTGCTCTCAAGCGAGCAGTGATGGGTACCGCTACCTTCCCAATACAGGGTGAGTTAAATCCATCCCGTGGCCTCTGGAGCTCCCATCCGCAGTGCGGATAGGGACTTCAAGCTCCCAGCCCCACGATGGGCATCATCTGCTGATTTCTAGGTCTAGACTAAAATACTGTTGGTACAGAAAGAAATAGAGTTGTTCCATGTTGCACTAACCCAGGATGCTGGGCTGGAGGTACAGAGGGTCACGGCTTCAGGCTAAGCTTCTGTTTGTTTGATGCAAATGTTGCTGTGCATATTTTCTTTAACCTTCTGTTATTTTATGTTTTTCTGCAGTCCCGGCCTTTTAGCCCTCCTATTCACTCATCCAGCCCTCCTCCGATAGCACCTTTAGCCCGTGCTGAAAGTACTTCTTCCATATCTTCCACCAATTCCCTGAGCGCAGCCACCACTCCCACCGTTGGTAAAAACATACAGCACTGCTGTTCTTTCACCTTTCCTACCTCTGAACGTCCGCAAAACAATTCCCGAAAGCTTTTCATTTGCTAGATTGTTTGCTGGGTTCACACTCATTAATTTTCATCAGGTTTTTAAATGGAAAAAGGGATTTGAGGGGGGGCGTGACGGATCGCGAAGGTGATGCTGCTGGGGAAGCTTGCTTTGTGGCAGCTCCAAAAGTTGGGAAAAATGAATGTTTGTTGAAGGTAGAGGTTATCACCGAGTGAAATGTCACATAAAACATGCTTATGGTCTGTAAATTTGGTCAAAATAAGCTTTTTTTTGCTGGGGGTGCCTGTGCCCTGGAGGGGAGGGGGGCTGGAAGCCAGACCTTGGGATCCAGGAGGCAAATAATATTGAATCTCTTTGAATGTCTTAAATTCATACTTCCCCTTAACATGGTAGTGGGAAACGGGGACTTGGAAAAGGCTCTTCCAAACCATTAGCTTGACACGTCTCAGTCCAGAGCAAAACGCTGCAGTTTTCTTTTGGAGGAATGTCCTGAACAGCATGGTTTTTGTCAACCCCCACCAGGTGCCCCCCAGGACCTGAGACAAGAAATTCCAAGTCTGGCTGGCAGCTCCCAGGCTCCACAGGCTGGGGCCCCCCGCGCCTCCCTCCTCTGTCCCGGCTGCCGGTGCATCCTCCCCCACCATTACTGCCATCCCACCTGGCTGCCAGCCCCACCGCCCCTTGCTTCCCGCAGCTCCATCTTCTACCAGGAACATCCCTTCTCCTTTTTTTTCCCCTTGTCTTTCCCTGTGTTTTGGGACGAGCACTCCTGGTTTGCGTGGCAGGGAAGG